ATCATATTCCCCTTCCTCCGCGTGTAGCGCGGTAGCTCTGACGTTTCATTAGATTATTAAAGAAAGAAGACGATTCGATGTACCATTCTCGACTCTTTATCCTTGTCTGAATTCATTTTTGCCTATTCCTGCGCGAAGCGCGGAAGCTTTCACATTTTATTACATTATTAGAGAAAGAAGACGATTTGTTGTATCGTGTCCTTCATGAATTCAGTTTCCCCCCTAGCTTTAATGTTTCAATAAATTATTACTCTTAATCATTGTCTGTATTCATTTTCGCCCATTCCGCGCGTAGCGCGGAAGCTTTCACGTTTCATTAAATTATTAGTAAAAGAAGACGATTAGTTGTATCGTGTACTTTGACGTTTCATTTGATTATTACTCTTAATCCACGTCTGAATTCAGTTGCCCCCTAACAGCTTTGCCCTGTTCGCTAAATTATTAGAGAAAGAAGACGATTCGTTGTACTGTTCTCTATATATTTATCCTTGTCTGAATTCAGTTTCCCCACTAAAAATAAGTTGTGTCACAAATAAGTTGTGACATAATAATCTTTCTCCAAAAATGAAAAATGTTTTAGGAAATATCAGGAAATAAAATGAGTGAAAAAAATAAAAATAAAGATACAATGACATGAATTTTAAGAAGGGTGAACGGAAACAACATAACAACTAGTGAACTATTTTATAAGTCATACTAATGTCCGAAAATCTTTCTCCTTGTCTCCGATCTCATCACGAAATCGTCACAGAGTTCATCTATGTTTACACTGTCCAGGATTGTCTGATGTGCATTGCAGATTGCTACTTTTGTGCTTCGCGGTTAACATTTAGCTCGTTGCTTTTGATGCTGCGTCTTTGCATTTGGCGCACTGCATTTTTATGATGCTGTTGATTGAACAAATTGAATAAATTCATCAATTTCCGATGAAGCCGTATGAGCGAGAATTCAATTTATTCTTGTCTCATATACGGTTTTCTTATTTACTTCGTATATATATATGTATTATGAAAATGAGATAGCAAAATGTGTATATTGATGGTCATCTTGCGAGTAATAACCATTAACTACTCTCATCGGACTCTCATTAATTTTTCTCTTCATTTTTTTTATTTTTTTTATGGTGAATTATTGGGGGGGGGGGTGATTGTACAGGCCATCCCCCCCCCCACCTGAAATATTGGGGGGGGGGATATATCCCCCCATCCCCCCCCCCCCCCCCCAGGATCGACACCCATGGCTAGGAATAACAAAGTTCTGTTTGTTTAAAGTAGTGCTTGCATTTCCATAATTTTATCAAACGAATGCGTTTTCACTGGCTGCCTGCTGTAGCAACAAGCAGAATCGACAATAGACTTAACTTCGTTTCGTTGACAAATAGCCATGCATGAAGTCTTTCGTGTACGGCTGATTGTCAACGAAACGGAGTTAAGTCTTTTGTTAATTCCGTTTGATTCGAACGAACGCATCGTTCGTACGAACCTTTGTGACCGTAGCTTTAGGTTGAATTTATCCCCATCGCCGCCTGATGAGTACGGCTGTGTTTTCAACGTTATAGGTAGCTCATCCCGGCCAAGCAGGGACAGTAGGGACTTTTAGATTTGCACGACGAGAAGGTACACTGCTACGTGTGACGTCCTTTTAAGGCATTGTGACGTCCTTATAAGGCACTGCCAGTGCCTTAAAGCCCCACTGCACTACTTGTAGCTACTCGCGCCCTCTATATAACAAACAATGCCTAATCGGTGACCATTGGTCCCCCATGATCCTCTTTTTCTTATGTTAACTGAGAGGTAAGTTGGTGAGATAACCACCTGTCCAGTGACCTTGTAGGGCAGTCTAATGTCTCCTGTAAACTAGTACAGATAAGCTTAAAAGGACGTCACACGTAGCAGTCGACGTTCTCGTCGTGCAAATCTAAAAGTCCCTATTTTCTTTGCCCTGACAGACAGTACAGACAACGTAGCAAACATGTGATCAATCATGGCGGAATTGCTTTTTAGGTTTGTCGACAAACATGTCTAATCTATAGAGGCGAATACAGAATATCATGCGTGAATATGTCAGTCGATTAAATACCTTGCTTTGAATGATGAAAGGGTGGAATTCATATCATGCGATTCTTCTGTTGGGCAGCGCGCGTTTCATGAAACCGTCAAAAGTACAAGTTCACCGACATCCCATTGAAACGCGTGTTAAACTTAATACACGCCTTTCAATGAGATGTCGGTGAACTTGTACTTATGACGGTTTCGTGAAACGCTTCCCTGGTGTCTAATGCAGTGCAATGCACGGAATGCAGTCCTCACAAAGAAATTAGTGGAACAGGGCAAGTTCATGCAAGAACGGATCAATGATTGGTAAACATTTCAGCCACTGACTGCCAAATTTACACCGATTCCACGTCAGCGACTGTTGTGACAGTGCACTTGTAAATACTTTATCACCCAAGTCACTTGTTTCTTGTACTATTGATGCATGACATGAAAACTCAAATCGTACTTGATCACAAGTGTCTGAAACTTTGAATTGTGGATTTTACTGCCTTGTATTGTCCTGTTGTGGGTTTGTGCGGTAATATGTATTTGTTTAAATAAAATATGTTATATTTTCATAATTGTTTATTCCTTTATAGTACTTTATTATCTTTTAAATTTCCTATATTATATTGAATGTTCAATGAAACTTATTTTACCTTCATCAAGGGTGGTCGTCTCGAAAAATCCTCAAGTTATTTTTAATGGCCACCCAATTCCAATAATACTCTATCTTATGTTGCTATCTGATGTATCACTTTGTTGTGTTATCATTTTACCTTGTTTTATACTCTTGATCGATTTATACTGTTATTCTGTCATGATTGTATTCTGTTTTGTATATTTTGTAATTGGAATTCAATAAAACTTAATTGAAAATTGAATACATATAGATTTTTAATAGCACTTCCTCAGGCAATGTGCATAGTATAGCGCCATCTATTGCTGTTTACTTGATATTAAACACTCAGAAGTCTACATGAACATAGTTGTGTTGACAATCAAGGATCCCTTTTTGCCAGAGCATTAAATCAGGCAAAGAGGTTAGTTTTGTTATATATTTAATGTATTTTTATGAAATGTCAAAACATAGAGTAGAAATTAGTGTGTGTGTTTTGAACTTCATACTGAGAGATGTTGGTGTTTATAGTATGTAATGTAATGTAAGAAATACAAGCCCATGCTGGTTTAATATGATGTATGTACATTTTACCTTTAATTAAGAACAATGATAACAGTGATGATACTGCTAAATACTTTGAAGATATATTATGAGAGTGCTGAAGCACTATAGGTAGAGATTTTGAATTTATTATTGTCTAGTTAATTGTTTAAACAAGCTATGATTAAGTCTAGTTGAGACACTTGTAGTGTGAGTTTGTATTTACGTAAAGCCATTATGCAGATGGACTAGAATAGTGACTGGGGTTATTTTAATAGATTGTGAAGATCATATAGCAAAATGTACATTTATTTATGTTGCTATGATGATGCGTTGATATATTTGTATTTATGATTCTTCATCTGTGTCGTTATTCCACAGTTTTTCGCGGAATGAAAATGGTTACTCCAATCATTAAAGCTACGAATTCTTCAGACTTTTTATTTGATATCGACGTCGTTGCGGCCACAGCGACTGCAGACCGACCAATTCAAGCTCATGCGGAGTATTCGGACCACTGTCGGTCTCGTTGCTATTATAAATAGAGAGAGAGAGAGAGAGAGAGAAAGAGAGAGAGAGAGAGAGAGAGCAATAGAGAGAGAGAGAGACAGAGAGTGAAGGAAAGGGAGAGAGAGAGAGAGAGAGAGAGAGAGGGGGGAAAGAGCGACGAAAGAGTGAGTGAGGGCATGGACCTATACATGGTGAGAGCGAGAGATAGGGGAGCATGGAGGGAGGGGGGAGGGGAGATTTTACATGATGTTCATTTCCCCGTATGTAACATGATTTCGTGGGGATGGGGGAGGGTGGGGTGGGCAAATTACAAACATTTAGGCCCGAATTCACAAAGGAATTCACTAGGTTTATGTGCGTCATATGACGCGTTTTGACGCGTTTCAGACCAAGGTTTGTCTGAACCTTGATCTGAAACGCATCGAAACGTGTCATATGACGTACACAAATAAACCTAGGTTTGTCGATAAACCTCCTTTGTGAATTTGGGCCATATAATCTTGAAAAACCGTAGTTGTGATATTTTGGTTTTTGCCCCGAAAGTCAATCACATATTTTAAGAATATATATCTATATTCTAATATATTAGGCATACTAAAATGATGGTTAAACAGGGGAGATGTGACTTTATCCTGGTTAAACATTGGTTTGTAAAGCATTAAAGCTAATCATGGTTTATTCAGCTCGAATTTGTAATAGGCCTATATGTTTCAGTCTATTGAGCCAACACATGAACTGTGAATTATACATTATGTGTATATATTATATACATAAGTATATAGAATATGATATGTCTATACTGTATATAGATATATATGTGGGGTACTGGGGGTGTAGTTTGGGTTATGTTTTCGTTCATTTTTGTATACGTCCCTTAAATTATTTGTATATTTTTTCTCTTGCTCTGTCTTTTGTGTGTGAGGGGAGGGGCCCGGATTGGGGTTGGGGGCTTTCCCGACCCATGTAGAACGGCTACAGTCCAAACTTAAAGCCCACTGCACTACTTCTAGCTTCTTGCTCCCACTATATAGCAAACAATGCCTAAGCCGTGATCATTGGTCCCCCCATGGTCCCCTTTTTCTTATGTTAATTAAGAGCTGATTTGATAAGATAACCACCCAGGAACCACCTGTCAGTGACCATGCAGGGAGGTCTAATCCCTCCTGGCCAAACTAGTGCAGTGGGGCTGTACAGGCGATTATATGTTTTCTTCCCAGCGCGGTGGTAATCTTTCTCAATTGGATTTGCTGATGAAAAGCTTGTCTTTTGCTATGTGTTTCTTTGATTATGCATGAGTGCATCTCACCGCACGCAGATGAACCCGAACGGCAAACATTAGCACTCGCTCAGAATGTTCGCTACCTGCCTGAAACCTGTGACCAGATTCTGTTTCGTGTCACAATTGGCTCGCATATGATATTAATGTCGTTTGCCTTCAACAGCGCCACATTTTGACTTCATACATTAAAGAGGCAGTAAGAGGCTACGCAAAAAAAGAAACGGATATTTCTCGGTTGGACAGCTGAACTGGTCGGGCGGGGAGCGGGGAGATTATGGAGGTGGAAGAGGCCGAACTTATTCAACCATCGGAGGACAGCGAGGCACTCAGCGGGCAGGATGCGTTTTTCCAGGCGGCTGCGAACGGCGAAGTCGCCACACTGAAAGCGCTGGTGGAGAACCGCCTTGAACTTGGAATTAATCTCAACGGCCGAAATGATTCAGGATATACAGCACTGCAGATAGCCGTCACGGAAGGCTATGTCGGTAAGCCTTTACTTATAAACCGCTAGAGTTGCAAGATTGAACATTCCATGTTGTGAAATCTAAACAAGTAAATGTTTTGATGTATAATTTTGTTTTGTTCCATATCTTTTTTCCCTTTTTTTCTCGATCTCTCAAAAGTTAGAAGTAGAACGACAATTTTGTTAGAATATTAATGTCCCACATGAGAAGGTATGTATGTATGGAAAGAGAGAGAGAAAGAGAGAGAGGGAAAGAGAGAGAGAGAGAGAGAGAGAGAGAGGCAATTAGCGAAATTAATTGCGTAATTCCATATCCGAATATTGGTATATTCTTCTTCTCTGGCAACACTCAGCCGAATCCATATTATGGGTTTATTGATAAGTACTTCTTTTACTACACGGAGGAGTGGGAGGACGCCCCGTAATTTTCTTACCACAAATTTTGAATGTCGGTGCCCATGGCAGGGTCTGTGAAATATCGTGGCATTACAATTTGTTGATGCTTTGCTTTGCTTTAAAAATGCTTTGAATATAAGGGTTAACAAAAAAAACCTCCATAAAAATACAATAAACTACCATTTGAACCATAGAATACAATGATATACGAATAGAATATCATTGAAGAATGACCTTGCCGGGGAAATGTAAAGGGGAACAAACAAGGAAATGAAAAGGATAGACTAGAAAAGGAAGAAAGGGAGCAGAACAAAACAAAAGGAAGAAGAGTAAGATGGAGAATTTGAAATAAATTTGATGTTAAAAACAATGGCATAAAAACATGATTCAAATTAAAACTGTAATGAGGTATTCCAATAGACCAGTTTACTAACATATTCAAATTCTATACATACTTTTTCTTGAAAACCTGAAAGCTTTTCTGATGCCTGCACGACATAGCAACAAGTAAAGTTCGCAGACTGGATTCCAAGTATTGTAGTTTATTCTTTGATAACAGAATAATTAAACACCTCGTCACTTATCCTACTCTGGAAAGAAATGTCCATAAATATGAATTAGTAAACGGGTCTATTCAGGCATTGGCAATATTGTATAATTAAGATGTGATATTATAAAATTGGACAATGATGTGACTTATTGGCCCGAATTCACAAAGGAGGTTTGTCGACAAACCTAGGTTTATGTACGTCATAATTTTTATGACGCGTTTTTACGCGTTTTTTTTTACAAACCTGGTTTTTTAAAAACGCGTCGAAACGCATCATATGACGCACGAAAACCAAGGTTTGTTGACAAACCTCCTTTGTGAATTCAGGCCTTTAAAGACCGTCAATACTACTGGGCCAGAATGAATAAGACCACACAGAGAGGTCACTGACAGGTGGCTATCTCATTAACTCAGCTCTCAACTAACATAAGAAAAAGAGGATCATGGGGGACCAACATGCACCAATTGGGGAAGTTTTCTATTTAGAGGGAGCAAGTAGCTAAAGTAGGACAATGGGGCTTTAAAGGCACACTGTCCTACTTGTAGCTACTTGCTCCCTCTATATAGAAAAATTCCCCAATCGGTGCCTGTTGGTCCCCACGATCCTCCCTTTCTTATGTTAAATGAGAGCTGAGTTAATGAGATAGCCACCTGTCACAGTGACCTCGCTGGCTCGCTGTGTGGTCTAATCCCTTCTGGCTGAATTAGTAAAGCCTGCCTTTAAGTCTCAAACCTCCAGCGAAAATAGCAGAACCGTTCAAACGTGGAGTTTAAACGTACGCTGCTGCAGGTGTAACCTATACCGACAAAGTTGTTGTCAATGTACATCCATTTCAAAACAGATAATATTTCACCCTTCATGTACGAAGCTGTTTGCCAGCATATCGAAAGGAAACCGCGAACACAATAACACAGCTCAAAGTAAACAAAACTTGCCATTTAAAAAAAAATTGTAATCATCTAAAGTATTATTGCTTGGGTTCTAGTCAGATCGTAAGCTGGTCATTTGTTTCTTGTCTAAGCTGAGGTGGGGGCCTGGGGGGGGGCACCTAACTTATTCGTGCATGTCCCTTTTTTAGGGATCAAAGCGCTTTACAGATGTTATTACCCCGATATTCGGATTCACTGACTCACAGTGCCCAATCTCCACTCCCTGGGGGAATATACATGTACCATAAGGTCACAGTGAGGGTATATGGCAATTACTATCATACAGGCTTTCGACATCCTAACATTTCCCAATTTCTCTCCTGGGTGTCGAGTGGCATATAAAGATTAATGCCTTGCCAATAGATATTGTTGCCGTGTCAGGGATCGAACTCACGACCTTTGTATTTCCAGTCAAGTGCTCTAACCCAACTACGACAACTCTTCTTCTTTCTACATCCTCTTCTTCAATTGTGTTCTCATTCCTCTTATGTTCACCATTCGGTACGAGATGGGGGGGGGGTGGGGAGGGGCACAATTGCCTTTTGCTAAGCACAAAAATGAAGCCCCTAGTTACTCGATCATTTCAGAGAATAGGCCAATCATCAACATCGATTTGTTTTGTGTTGTTTGGTAGGACAAGCCATAATGTTTTTCCTGATTAGCAACAATCAATGTATGCTAGTTCATAACAGATGAATGGAATAACTTGTAACATGGCACTTAACAAAGGTCATATTATATCACGTTGATTCCATTACGAAAATTGTCTAATAGACATTTCACACTCAGTCTACCTGTATGTACCATCTCGAAAAGGGATGTAACCCCCTAACACCTATATCACCCGACAGTTATATGCAATTTTGGTCAGATACAATGACATGTGAATAAAATAATCCTTTTTATCACGTTGGTTATCTGTTATGCTCTATTTATTCAATTGAATACATTTGTATGTACCTTATATATTCTGAATAGAGTTGTCATACATCAGCACACCTATGCTTATAGTTACCTTTTTAAGTGTACAAATCACATTGCAAGTTCTCAATGTCACGCCACATAGCCTGAATAAATTAAATTGATTTGATTATTTGACCAATTACATAATGCAAACCTTGCAAAGTCCAAGAAAACAGTATAAGATTCCTTACAAATATCGTGAAGACAACAACATGGATAAAACACACTAAACTGCTAAAGGAAATTACGGTTTGGTTGTCATGGACGACCGAAAACATGAACACATTACGCCTCTATTCTCACACATCTGCACTGGCTGCCAATTCACCTTCGCATCCCCAGTTTAAAGAGAAGGTTGAGTTCTGGGAAGAGATGAAAAATAATTTGTGAGCGTTATCATTCTTATAATGCAAGTTTTGAAGAACATCAGATAAGACATTTTCCCTGAAAAGCGTGGCTCTTCAAATGCCTTCATATTCTAAATATGTCATGTCACATCGTAAAAATCCAGGGTAGGATTTTTACGCCACGTGTTCGTGTAGTCCCATATACATCTTTCTGTGAACAGTGTTTGTAACTTTACCAAGACTTGGCCAAATTTCTTATCATTTTGATGATTCCAGAACCTTGCAATACACACAAATTCTTATATGCTATATGATCAACCTTTTCTGGTCGATTCCACACCGTTTCTTTCACAATGCAATCGCATGACCAGAACTCAACTTTATCTTTAAGGTGATGTTGCTGGTGTTCAAGGTTCCGAACGATACTGCTCCATCGTAATTATCGGACATCATCAAATTATATATCCACGTTAATAATCTACGCTCCATAAATATGAATCTCCTCCAAACTCCCAGGCCCGAATTCACGAAGGAGGTTTGTAGACAAAACCAAGGTTTATGTGCGTCATAACATATGATAATTATGACGCGTTTTGACGCAATTCAGACCAAGATTTGTTTGAACTTTGGTCTGAAACGCTTCATATGACGCACATAAACCTAGGTTTGTCGACAAACCTCCTTTGTGAATTCGGGCCACCGAATCAGCACTAGATACTTAGGGGAACTTCCTTTCAGCACCCTGGCACCCTCGCTATATGGAATGCGCTTCTCCTTCAGCTCCGAGATGCACCCTCCATCACTAATCTTAAGCAGTCTCTAAAAAGTAAAAACGTCCTTGTTTTCCTCCCTTTTGTAACTGAATTGCAATTGACATTGTGTTATTAGTTCACGTTTTATTTTATCACGTTACAATTTAAATCCTAATTTTTGATTTTTGTTCTTCTTCAATTAAGTATTGCATTTATAATCTTCATGAATTGCCATACTTTCTTGACTGATGTTATTAAGTTGCTGTCACTATTCCAAATGTTGTATAAGATATACGTTTGTTCTTTTGCTATTTTTTAAGCGTATTATGCGCTTATAAGCCTGACATTATTATTGGTATTTTCATTATATTTGTTATTATAATAAGACAGTTTAATATATCTACACAATCTCTTGGTAGATGATCCAACTTAACATGAAGAAAAAGAAAGCAATGCAATGATAAATACAAACAAAAAGAAGTTCTAACTAGATGAATGCAAGTCGCATAGAATTATTAGCATAGTATCTGTAGTACCTGCAAAAGAGCTAGAGTCGCTCTTGTTCGAATTAAGGTTATGGCCATTGGTATTTATCGCATCGTTTCACAACCAGTTTGAAATCTATTATTATTAACAATACGTAGGTGGTCATGGTCAATTATATGGGTTAATTCTTTACAGAGAAATTATTTTCTATTTCGGTTATTGTCCTTGAAATTGTTTTCGTCGTTTCGCATCTAGGGCAAACTCACTCTTTGTAATTTTCCTTGGCCTTTGGTTCGTAAACACCTTTCACACCCGAGCTTTTTTCCGAAGAAGAGCTTGTAAAACACCCCTTCAGATATGACGTGGTAAACCGCCGCAAAAAGGGGGCGCCGTGGATTTTTACGTGTAAAGGAATGACGCTGTGCCTGCGTGCAACAAATGTCCTCTGCGTAGAGCCATTTTGAGATAACGCGACGTACCTCCGCCGTTTATCAAGTAAATGTTTCAAATTTATGGATGCTTCCTTCCCAGGTGTGTATGGTGATGTAGCATATCATTCACCTGCTACTATCCTTACTACAATTGCCAGGACGCAAAT